TATATATATATATATATATATATATATATATATATATATATATATATATATATATATATATATATATATATATATATATAATAATAATAATAATAATAATAATAATAATAATAATAATAATAAAATTGATGTAGCGAAAGGACAGAAAATAAAAATCTTATATATCCCAAAAGTGTGTTTATCGTCGTACAAATATTGATGCATAAAAGTTTACGAAACTAAAAATCACGTGTGAGATGGTTATGTTACCTAAAGAGATCGTATATACTTGAAATCTTACAGATATGTGGGGAGAGGATGAAGGAAGTCAAATCTCTTCTCTAGCAGTGATCCATATGGGGCTGTAGAGAAGAATGAGAGAGGAGAATAGAAGGTGGTAGCAAAAAAGGCTCAACCTATGGCATTTTGATTCTCTTCTATTTATATAGGTCTCTTGTCAACTTAATCCTAATAGATCCTGTCCTATTGGGTATTGCATCTCCATACAACTATCCAAGCCTCTTAGATTAGTGGATGTCTATCTAATAATTTCTTATTAACTCTTATTAGATCTCATCTATATAATCCAATAAATCAGAAACTTATTTGATATCTAATAAGATAGGGGCTATAATGGATATCCTATTTCTGAATCTCTACTCGTTTCAACATCTATCATATATGTGTAACACTTTAGGCCCAATATCAAGCTGACCATAAGTCATACTTATCAAAACTTCTTCTGGTTCAATTAATTATTATCTGCATAATAATTCACTTGACTCATCGACTACGGACGTACTATGTCACTACGGCGTAGTCCCTAGACAATATAAGAGAATTCAATCCATTGGACCTATCTATCCTTAGTTACCATGTACCTATAGTCCCTCATCCTTCTAATACCCAGAGACCATATATCAAGTATGGTGTTGTCAGGCTCATACGATTTTTGTTGAATCTCGAATTTTGATGATGAAATCAATTAATGAGTTTGTGATCTAATTTGTGTTTTGAGTGACGCAAGACTAGCTTTGATTAAGGAGAGACAAATTGATTAAAGCAAGAGGAATCGAACGT